CATAATTTAAGGTTCCTAATCCCAGCCCATTGCCGACTTTTTCGCTCATTTATTTTTTTTAATCATGGGTTTGCTAACATTTACATTGAGCTACTGCCTCCTTGTAGAAAGGGGGGAGGGCTGAAGATGGTATTTTCTTAATATTTCCAAATCGCCATGTGATAAAATATTAGTGCATCTTACATAATAATTATGAATCATATTCCAAAAAATTGGAAGTAGGTTTTCATCACCGTCTTCCTACTTTTCGCGCATCTATGAAATTGTTTAGTGAAGAGAATTTAGGTAATTTTTTTTATGATGATATAATGATTGCTCAGTCAATTCTGTGTTAAGTACGCCTATGATTTCAGATAGGTATTTGGTATGCAAGATATTATGTTAATGTTGAACATATTCGTAGATTTTTCCATTATTGTTACCATGATAAAAAAACTTTTTTTTTTGCAAATGACTGCGGAGTAGCTCTGAGAATGAGTGTTTTGTTTAAGAACGTCTCGATACTCTAATATAGTCTTGAGGCAACTTCTTAAGATGAAAAAAACCTATATCCGGATATATATCTTGATACATATCATGATTTTTATGTGGCGATATTTATCCTGATATCTATTAAATATCAAAATATTTATCCTAAAATTTTATTGATCAGTATATAAATATGGCCACGCAGGTGCTGCACCGGCAACAGCGTATTATGCTGCGGTGATTCCCCGTCGTCTTTCCGAGACGTTGAAGCCAAACCACCTTTCGTGACCTTTTGAATTTTATTTAGTTTTGATTTCTGAATTCTGATTGATAGGAGACATTCTTGCCGTTTGTTTAATCAATGGGAAGTTTACATTGTCTAAACTAAAAAAAATCTGATTGGGTTGATTTTCCATTTATATTTGTTCAATTGTTTTATAATAGAAATAGTATTTTATATAGTTGGTCTCTTTTGAACTCGCTTGACTCGCTTTTGGCTCTACATTTCTGTTTTTTCTCACCAACATCTTACATTCCTATACATTAGAGCACTGGAATTTGTTATTGTGATAGTATGTCCAACAATTAGATATAAGAAACATAAAAAATACAACATAAATAACGAGGTGATTTTCATGTCAGGCGGGTCTCTTTGTTAAACAACATTTTTCTTCTCTTGTGTAGGGGAGATAGGGAAAAATTACTTCAAACCTCAAGACATTCCTTATAATCTAATATATATCTTCATTATGAGTGAAGAGGATAGAATTTCGAATTTTACTTTCACAATTTCACCAAAGGTAATAGTAATCCTAATTCACAACTAATTCATAACTTTTTCCTTTGAATTTGAAAAAAATACAATTGGTAAAATTTTTGCATAAAATGATCAACAAAAAAATCGATAATAGGTTCAATGAAGAGCCCAAAATTAGCCTTAAATTATGATGTACTCAATATTCTTATATTCCTTTTATTTGAGATTTGGTTCTGCTAGCTTCACGGTTAAGTTAGCAACACCCATGATCTTTTCAAAAAAACAATGTGTAAAAAAATTGGCAATAGGCTGAGATTAAAGCCTTGAAATAGCCTTCAATTATGTCATAATTAGTTTTGTGATTGAACTTTTATTTACGAAGTGGTTCTGCTAGCTAAACGTCAAGCTAGTAGAACCCACATTTTTTTGCATAAATCGAGGAGCAATAAATTCGGCAATAGGGTAATAAATTAGCCTTGAATTAGCATCGTTACCCCATTCGGACGGCTTGAGAGTTGATGGGATCTGAACAGTTATTTTCTAAATATTTTGGAAGACCCACCATGATAATTTCAGGGTGTAGAAATCATTGCGTCCCCACTTTTAGAATTCATTTTATATTATTATTTATCGTTGCCCCCTTCGGACGGCTTGCGAGTTGATGGGATGGAAACAGTTATTTTTTAAATATTTTGAAAGACACACCATGATCATTTCAGGGTGTAGAAATGATTGCGTCCCCACTTTTAGAATTTATTTTATATTATTATTTATCGTTGCCTCCTTCGAACGGCTTGCGAGTTGATGGGATATTAACAGTTAGCTTCTGAATATTTTGAAAGACACACCATGATGATTTCAGGGTGTAGAAATCATTGCGTCCCCACTTTTTGAATTTATTTTATTTTATTATTTATCGTTGCCCCCTTCGGACGGCTTGCGAGTTGATGGGATATAGACAGTTAGCTTCTAAATATTTTGGAAGACACACCATGATAATTTCAGGGTGTAAAAATCATTGCGTCCCCACTTTTTGAATTTATTTTATATTATTATTTATCGTTGCCCCCTTTGGACGGCTTGCGAGTTGATGGGATATGAACTGTTATTTTCTAAATAATATGGAAGATCCACCATGATAATTTCAGGGTGTAGAAATGATTGCGTCCCCACTTTTAGAATTTATTTTATTATCTCTCGTAGCCCCCTTCAGACGGTTTGCGAGTTGATGGGATCTGAACAGTTATTTTCTAAATATTCTGAAAGACACACCATGATAATTTCAGGGTGTAGAAATGATTACGTCCCCACTTTTAGAATTTATTTTATATTTTTATTTATCGTTGCCCCCTTCGGACGGCTTGCGAGTTGATGGTATAAGGACAGTTAGCTTCTAAATATTTTGAAAGACACATCATGATAATTTCATGGTGTAGAAATGATTGCGTCCCCACTTTTACAATTTATTTTATATTATTATTTATCGTTGCCCCCTTCAGACGGCTTGCGAGTTGAAGGGATATGAACAGTTAGCTTCTAAATATTTTGGAAGACACACCATGATAATTTCAGGGTGTAGAAATCATTGCGTCCCCACTTTTTGAATTTATTTTATTTAATTATTTATCGTTGCCCCCTTCGGACGGCTTGCGAGTTGATGGGATATGGACAGTTAGCTTCTAAATATTTTGCAAGACACATCATGATGATTTCAGGGTGTAGAAATCATTGCGTCCCCACTTTTTGAATTTATTTTATTTTATTATTTATCGTTGCCCCCTTCGGACGGCTTGCGAGTAGATGGGATATGGACAGTTAGCTTCCAAATATTTTGAAAGACACATCATGATGATTTCAGGGTGTAGAAATCATTGCGACCCACTTTTAGAATTTATTTTATATTATTATTTATCGTTGCCCCCTTCGGACGGCTTGCGAGTGGATGGGATGGAGATAGTTATTTTCTAAATATTTTAAAAGACACACCATGATAATTTCAGAGTGTGGAAATAATTGCGTCCCCACTTTTTGAATTTATTTTATATTATTATTTATCGTAGCCCCCTTCGGACGCCTTGCGAGTTGATGGGATATGAACTGTTATTTTCTTAATAATATGGAAGATCCACCATGATAATTTCAGGGTGTAGAAATGATTGCGTCCCCACTTTTAGAATTTATTTTATTTTATTATATCTCGTAGCCCCCTTCAGACGGTTTGCGAGTTGATGGGATCTGAACAGTTATTTTCTAAATATTTTGAAAGACACACCATGATAATTTCAGGGTGTAGAAATGATTACGTCCCCACTTTTAGAATTTATTTTATATTTTTATTTATCGTTGCCCTCCTTCGGACGGCTTGCGAGTTGATGGGATATGGACAGTTAGCTTCTAAATATTTTGAAAGACACATCATGATAATCTCATGGTGTAGAAATGATTGCGTCCCCACTTTTACAATTTATTTTATATTATTATTTATCGTTGCCCCCTTCAGACGGCTTGCGAGTTGAAGGGATATGAACAGTTAGCTTCTAAATATTTTGGAAGACACACCATGATAATTTCAGGGTGTAGAAATCATTGCGTCTCCACTTTTTGAATTTATTTTATTTTATTATTTATCGTTGCCCCCTTCGGACGGCTTGCGAGTTGATGGGATATGGACAGTTAGCTTCTAAATATTTTGAAAGACACATCATGATAATTTCAGGGTGTAGAAATCATTGCGTCTCCACTTTAAGAATTTATTTTATATTATTATTTATCGTTGCCCCCTTCGGACGGCTTGCGAGTTGATGGGATGTGAACAGTTATTTTCTAAATATTTTGAAGACACACCATGATAATTTCAGGGTGTACGAATCATTGCGTCCCCACTTTTTGAATTTATTTTATATTATTATTTATCGTAGCCCCCTTCGGACGGCTTGCGAGTTGATGGGATATGGACAGTTAGCTTCTAAATATTTTGGAAGACACATCATGATAATTTCAGGGTGTAGAAATCATTGCGTCCCCACTTTTTGAATTTATTTTATTTTATTATTTATCGTTGCCCCCTTCGGACGGCTTGCGAGTTGATGGGATATGGACAGTTAGCTTCTAATTAATTTGAAAGACCCACCAATATATTTTCAGGGTGTAGAAAATCATTGCGTCCCCAGTTCCAGAATTTACTTCATATTTTTATCTCTCGCTGCCCCCTTCAGACGTCTTGCGAGTTGACGGTACCTGAACAGTTGTATTCGTTAAATTTCTTAGCACCCCTTATATGACAATTTCAGGGAGTAGGAATCACTGCGTCCTAACCTTTATAATTTATTTTACATTAGGTATATTATTTCTTGCTGCCCCCTTCAGTCGGCTTGCGAGTTGATGGGACATGTACAGCTCTTTCCTTCATATTTTGAGAGATCTACCATAATAATTCCAGGGTGTAGAAATCATGGCGTCCCCACTTTCAGACTTTATTTTATATATTATTTCTTCCTGCCCCCTTCCCCCTTCCCTCTACGGATGGACTACGAGAATATGGGACATGAACAGTTAAATATCTAACAGTGGGATCGAATCGTGAAGAGAAACCGTTAATTTAAAAAAAGACGACGCCACTGGCCGTTCGGCAATCTTCGGAAAATTGGCTGTTATGATTTGGCAGTTGTTTTCACGCCGGTATCATTACATGGATAAAGAGAAAGGAATATTAACTTATAATTCCGGGGAAGTCTATATTTTTGATAGCTTTATATATATTCCAGTAGTCCTAGTGATGCCCACAAAGATTCAACAGACAGTGGAGCAAATGTTTTCCTCAGATGATTGTGGAATACTAGAAAAACTTCAAGAATCAATGGATAAGACCACTCAATTATTGGAAGAGAAGTTGCCGATATTAACCCCCATTGATAGGCCATCATCGCTGAAAGATTTAATGGCATCTACAGGCAAGGTAACAATTGAAGGAAAAAAGTCAACTAATTTATCCCGACCTGATGTCAAGATCCGAAGGCTTAATCATAAGAGATTGACTCATGGACACCACAGAAGCAAAAGGATTGCACCATTAGTGATTTGGGGAGGAACAGCATTACTCACCTCAGCAGGAGTTGCAATCTATAATAGAGCAGATATTGAGATAGAGAAGTCCCACATGAACAACCTCTTAAAAAACCAGGAAACATTGGAACAATATGCAAAAACTACTAGAGAGACCGTAAACCTACTTATTGATAGGGAGGAAAGTTTAGTCATGGCCGTAAACAATATTAAGGAAAAGATTAATGAGATCATAAAAGATTACACTTGTTTAAAAAAGGATTTTTCCACTTATATGGACTATATGGTAACATGGTCAAACATCGCGCCAAACTCATTTCTACGAGCAGTAAATGGAGCTCTAGGAGGAAAACTAACTATAGATTTACTGCCTGGAGATCAGCTGCAAAGAGTCATGCAGTACTACCCAGAGTTTGCAGATACTATCTTTCAAAAAGACCCTCTCATGATGTATCAGTCTGCAAGAGTTAAGGTGCTAAAGATCTCAAAAAATCCACCAATGTTAGAGACTATAGTTTCTGTTCCTAGAGTATTATATCCTGTGTTTGGATCTGTATACGCTCAAAAAGCTTGTCCATGGAAGATCAATAATACCATTGTAACTATTAAAGAACAAACAATTAAAATACTGTCTGCTGAAACACATTCATGGTATTCTATGAAGGGATGCAATGGCATGGATAACACCTACTTATGTGATATGAGAGAAATGATCCACACTCCCGAGCACTGCCTTAGTCTGGATGAAAAACCGGACCTTACCAAATGTCCCTTGGTTGAGGTAGATTCAGACTTTGATAAGGTAGTTCAAACTCCAGATGGTATAATGGTCTGTGGAGATAACACTTCAGTGCATATATTCACTAGAAACGCACTAGGTGTCTTGCACACTAGGGCAGAGACTATTAATCAACCAACCTATTATACCGCAGAAACTGGAGATTTCATATTGGTACATGAAAACCATTACAACTTGCGACATACTGACCGTCCTATTATTATACAAACTCAAGCATTTGTACATAAACATATAAATGATAGTGACTTTATAAACTCATTAGATTTTATGGGAGAGAGCAAACGCATTAAACACTTAGACGATTTGCCAGGCTTACTTGAATTTCTTACCGTTCTTGCTCGTCTTACTGTATATTTCTTATTTTCGGTAATTCCACATATTTCAAAATCTTCTAAATATTTTGGAAGACACACCATGATAATTTCAGGGTGTAGAAATCATTGCGTCCCCACTTTTTGAATTTATTTTATTTTATTATTTATCGTTGCCCCCTTCGGACGGCTTGCGAGTTGATGGGATATGGACAGTTAGCTTCTAAATATTTTGCAAGACACATCATGATGATTTCAGGGTGTAGAAATCATTGCGTCCCCACTTTTTGAATTTATTTTATTTTATTATTTATCGTTGCCCCCTTCGGACGGCTTGCGAGTAGATGGGATATGGACAGTTGGCTTCCAAATATTTTAAAAGACACATCATGATGATTTCAGGGTGTAGAAATCATTGCGACCCACTTTTAGAATTTATTTTATATTATTATTTATCGTTGCCCCCTTCGGACGGCTTGCGAGTGGATGGGATGGAAATAGTCATTTTCTAAATATTTTGAAAGACACACCATGATAATTTCAGAGTGTAGAAATAATTGCGTCCCCACTTTAATTTATTTTATATTATTATTTATCGTAGCCCCCATTCGGACGCCTTGCGAGTTGATGGGATATGAACTGTTATTTTCTAAATAATATGGAAGATCCACCATGATAATTTCAGGGTGTAGAAATGATTGCGTCCCCACTTTTAGAATTTATTTTATTTTATTATATCTCGTAGCCCCCTTCAGACGGTTTGCGAGTTGATGGGATCTGAACAGTTATTTTCTAAATATTTTGAAAGACACACCATGATAATTTCAGGGTGTAGAAATTATTACGTCCCTACTTTTAGAATTTATTTTATAAGGGATATGAACAGTTAGTGTAGCATATTTTTGACAATATACTATACTGCGAACGGTAGCTCTTATGTCAGTAGGCAATAGGCATGGATTCGTTGTTTTCACTAAGTTCTCAACAACTGAGATGGACTATACATTATAAAAATCATAAATACTATTTATATAGGATAGATGAAAATCATGAGCGCCACTGAATCTTTAACAGCTTATATAGCTGGGGATAGACCCAGAAACCCTGAAATTGAATTGCATGATAGCTAAGAATGGTGAGAGAGATCTATAATTAAAAGAGAACAATTATTCTTGAATACTACATTTTATTCAGTATGCCATGAAATTTACATGTGGCACTAGTGTGGTTCTGGAACAAACCACCAATAAAATGATCATTGTTATTAGTTATGTTGTTAACTTAGAATTATGATGAAATTAGATACAAATGAATATCCTATCACAAATACCAGGTAGCTAACATCTAGAAATCCTATCAAAATAGCACTTATAGAATTTTTGATATTTGTGACATTCGTCGAACATCAGATATATGGTAGATACTTACTTATTACATGTATTATGAATATGTACAATGAGTATTTACACAACAGTCTCATAGGATCTAACAGGAGATATCAGAAAATAATGTACCTGTTGACTTTCTGCTGTGATTCCTCACAACAAGATTGTATCATCATATTATACCGAAAACAGAAATCACTGGACATTCCAGATATCAAATATTACTTCAACATAATAAACAAAAGGTGAAGAGACTATGCAAGATACCACTTAGCTGTTATCTTCCAACTTAGCTGGAATGTTGTTCCTTCAACAGCAGTTCCTGACCACTCAGCATTACTGTGCCCAAAGACTGTACTTGAAACTATAGTTGTATAGGCTCTTGGCATTTCTCCAAGCAGCAAAACAGCATGATACATTTTCCCAGGATAGGAGCATGATGAAAGGTGAGAGCATAAACAATGCATCAAGATGCTACTCAAATGCAGCATAGGTTAAGATGGAGGGTAAGATAAGATAAGATAAGAGGTTTAGGCCCCATGTGGCCCCCTTATTTCCAGAATAGAGACTGACTACCGTGAAGATTCTGTAAAATTAAATTACTCTTGAAGAGAGGACTAAAAATACTTTGAAAGGTGAACATACCTCAAAGATATAACATCCTAGTGTTATAGCAGAACGGGAGACGATACAAAATGGGGTCATCTAATGACTGTGCCGGCTCGAACGAAGATTTACAACTTTGAACAAAAGTTATGAAGTCATACTCTGTTTTCCATATCTATCAGGAACAACAGCACTGTATACCACTATATTACTTCAGAAAAATGTAGACTTCATGGTTAAATTCACTTCGCCGGCTGGAGCACAAAAATCACCACATTCTTTCTCTTCAGTCAATCTCTATCTCCGCAGTAAAAATTGAACCAAAGCGCACATCATTTTGCGTATCATTCTCAGTTTCGTCATATTTCGTCATTTCCCAATTTCCGGATTTTTTGGACTTTTGTCAATTTGACTTTATTTACATCTATTCTGTCAAGGTCAATAGAATTACTCCTCACCTTAGATCATCAATAATCAGAACTCACGGAACGACTGATCCATTCATTCTTTTCAATTCTACCACACCTGATCTCATTAATATCCGATTGGTTACGAATCATATTCGACCAACCATTTGAGAAGCGAAATAGGTAGTGTGGCTAAAGTCCTACCAGCTGTTTGTCGTCCTAACCTCAATATTTTGAAATGTCAAAATATAATTATCATGATCAAAACAATGGATCTAATTACATGAAGATTATTAAAAAAGTGGCTGGAATACTGTGTGATCAGGCGACATCAGTTTATAGCAAACATCATGTGAAACTCAGTGTCCTTTTCCAATTCATATCAACAGGAGAAATCGAAACATTATAGAATGATAACAATACCATCTTCCAACAATTCATACAGAGTAAAATTGTTATGTGATAACTTTTATGCAGTGACCTTTCCAGTTGATACTTACAAGGTATGATTAACATTCTTTAAATGATATTGACAATCTGCTATAGATCGGTGATAGAGGATTTCCTTGTTATTGATAAGTTGTGTTTGTTTTCGAAATGACTAAGGAATTATAAGCACAAGTTTTATTCCAATGGTAGAGTTTGTCACTGATCAATATGTAAAAGTGATATCTAGTAGCAATTTTCATAGACTGCATAATATAGTGTTAAATAAAATTGCTACACTAGCTTCTAAATATTTTGGAAGACACACCATGATAATTTCAGGGTGTAGAAATCATTGCGTTCCCACTTTTTGAATTTATTTTATTTTATCATTTATCGTTGCCGCCTTCGGACGGCTTGCGAGTTGATGGGATATGGACAGTTAGCTTCTAAATATTTTGGAAGACACATCATGATAATTTCAGGGTGTAGAAATCATTGCGTCCCCAGTTCCAGAATTTACTTCATATTTTTATCTCTCGCTGCCCCCTTCAGACGTCTTGCGAGTTGACGGTACCTGAACAGTTGTATTCGTTAAATTTCTTAACACCCCTTATATGACAATTTCAGGGAGTAGGAATCACTGCGTCCTAACCTTCATAATTTATTTTACATTAGGTATATTATTTCTTGCTGCCCCCTTCAGTCGGCTTGCGAGTTGATGGGACATGTACAGCTCTTTCCTTCATATTTTGAGAGATCTACCATAATAATTCCAGGGTGTAGAAATCATGGCGTCCCCACTTTCAGACTTTATTTTTTACATTATTTCTCCCTGCCCCCTTCCCCCTTCCCTCTACGGATGGACTACGAGAATATGGGACATGAACAGTTAAATATCTAACAGTGGGATCGAATCGTGAAGAGAAACCGTTAATTTAAAAAAAGACGACGCCACTGGCCGTTCGGCAATCTTCGGAAAATTGGCTGTTATGTTTTGGCCGTTGTTTTCACGCCGGTATCATTACATGGATAAAGAGAAAGGAATATTAACTTATAATTCCGGGGAAGTCTATATTTTTGATAGCTTTATATATATTCCAGTAGTCCTAGTGATGCCCACAAAGATTCAACAGACAGTGGAGCAAATGTTTTCCTCAGATGATTGTGGAATACTAGAAAAACTTCAAGAATCAATGGATAAGACCACTCAATTATTGGAAGAGAAGTTGCCGATATTAACCCCCATTGATAGGCCACCATCGCTGAAAGATTTAATGGCATCTACAGGCAAGGTAACAATTGAAGGAAAAAAGTCAACTAATTTATCCCGACCTGATGTCAAGATCCGAAGGCTTAATCATAAAAGATTGACTCATGGACACCACAAAAGCAAAAGAATTGCACCATTAGTGATTTGGGGAGGAACAGCATTACTCACCTTAGCAGGAGTTGCAATCTATAATAGAGCATATATTGAGATAGAGAAGTCCCACTGTCCCACATATGAACAACCTCTTAAAAAACCAGGAAACATTGGAACAATATGCAAAAACTACTAGAGAGACCGTAAACCTACTTATTGATAGGGAGGAAAGTTTAGTCATGGCCGTAAACAATATTACGGAAAAGATTAATGAGATCATAGAAGATTACACTTGTTTAAAAAAGGATTTTTCCACTTATATGGACTATATGGTAACATGGTCAAACATCGCGCCAAACTCATTTCTACGAGCAGTAAATGGAGCTCTAGGAGGAAAACTAACTATAGATTTACTGCCTGGAGATCAGCTGCAAAGAGTCATGCAGTAATACCCAGAGTTTGCAGATACTAGTTAAGGTGCTAAAGATCTCAAAAAATCCACCAATGTTAGAGACTATAGTTTCTGTTCCTAGAGTATTATATCCTGTGTTTGGATCTGTATACGCTCAAAAAGCTTGTCCATGGAAGATCAATAACACCATTGTAACTATTAAAGAACAAACAATTAAAATACTGTCTGCTGAAACACATTCATGGTATTCTATGAAGGGATGCAATGGCATGGATAACACCTACTTATGTGATGTGAGAGAAATGATCCACACTCCCGAGCACTGCCTTAGTCTGGATGAAAAACCGGACCTTACCAAATGTCCCTTGGTTGATGTAGATTCAGACTTTGATAAGGTAGTTCAAACTCCAGATGGTATAATGGTCTGTGGAGATAACACTTCAGTGCATATATTCACTAGAAACGCAGTAGGTGTCTTGCACACTAGGGCAGAGACTATTAATCAACCAACCTATTATACCGCAGAAACTGGAGATTTCATATTGGTACATGAAAACCATTACAACTTGCGACATACTGACCGTCCTATTATTATACAAACTCAAGCATTTGTGCATAAACATATAAATGATAGTGACTTTATAAACTCATTAGATTTTATGGGAGAGAGCAAACGCATTAAACACTTAGACGATTTGCCAGGCTTACTTGAATTTCTTACCGTTCTTGCTCGTCTTACTGTATATTTCTTATTTTCGGTAATTCCACATATTTCAAAATCTACAGCTCTCGAAGATTCTTCATCATGGGTCACTTGATTTGTCCACTGTAGACATATTGGTGAAATTGGCCCATCCAATCCAACTCGTTCAGCAATACTGGAGTCTATCAGCGTTACAGTTGATCCCTCATCCAACAAGGCGAATGTATCTGCAGACTCACTCGGTCCAGATATTCTTAGATGCCTTATTCTCGCCCTTGAAGATTCTTCACTCTCTCTGCTTCCTGTAGTTATCTTATCTTGTTCGCTGCACATACCGCTTCTCGATCTTGCCCCTGAAGATTCTTCACTGCCCTTCTTTTCTTTTACTCTTACTTCCGTTCGTAATTCTTTCTCAAATCCGTATCTTGCAGGCGAAACACCCATATTGTATCTTGTGCTCCCCCTGCCCGTAAATGTTCGATCCAAAGACATTATTTCTGGTTCCAAAGCTCAAAGGACCAATTGTTGAAGCCTCCCAAGGTATTTATTATGAGGTTCAACAAGTTTTTACCATAAAAAATGAAATTAAATCTTTATTTTGACAAATCCAAAAATTATTTATTTTTTGTCAAAAAACATTTCAAATCCAAAATTCAACTATTTCATGGCATCATATATCAAAAGATAAATCTTGATGCAAGTGTCCTTAACAGATATCCTCTAAAATTGATTGTTTCAACTCACTAGGTTCATCATCATCATCATCATCATCACCCCCATACTCATCCTCAATATTAGGTTCTTCATTTTTCAAATCTGCTGGTGTGAGGAGTTGCAAGGATAGTCGGCGGGGGATTTTAGGCTCACTCTTCTGCTCTACAATATTCTTAGGTGTCTCATAGTTTAGTAAATTCATCTTCGGTTTCATCATGAATGGTGATTTGAAGGAATCGAGTTGTTCTGCAGCATTTTTCTGATATGGAATTTGTTGTTGTTGTTGTTGCTGACCAGTACTCTGTAATGTATTTTCGATACTTTTCAGGTGTTTTGTAATAGGATTGAACATATTTTCATGCACCATTTCTCCATGCTTCAAAATATCCAATTTATCTCTCACCGTTTTACGTTTAGCTATCAACCTCTTCTTGATTTCCTCCTCATTCCACTTCATTTCTTTGTTTGTTCACCAGGTAAGCATGAGGTATCTCATCTGCTTCTGATCAGCTCTGATCAGCTTCGATCGGGTATCTGATCAGCTCTGATCAGCTTGGATCAGGTATCTGATCAGCTTCGATCTGGTATCTGATCAGCTTCGATCGGGTACCTGATCAGCTTTGATCGGGTGCCTGCTCAGCTTCGATCGGGTATCTGATCAGCTCTGATCGGCATCGGTCAGGTTGGAGGGTACAATATTGAGACTTGAATATCGATAGAAAATCATATGGATCCTTCCAGCATAACGAACACATACTTTTGAATTTATCGAATGTCATATCTGACTTCACATGGTCTGCATAAATGTGACGTAAATTCATATCATCCATTTTGAATAAAATCAAGGATAAAATCAGGTGTTTAGGGATTTTAGCGTAGCTCTGATTCAGGTAAAAGGGGTCTACTAATGCATGTCTAGACATACTGAAGTATTCACGAATCACTTCTTGGTTGTCACATGCAACATCATCGAATATGAATATCGAATTCGGTTTAGCCTCTGACGGATGCATAATACTATCACTGGCACTGAATGCATAATATCCCATACCTTCTATTGGTTTGATCAATTCCTCCAGATATTTATATTTCGGTTGATATAAAGATTTGGAGTACACATAGATATTCTCAAATTTTAATCCATTCTTATGTTCGAGAAGATTGATCATAACATTGGTCTTACCGCAGTTTGAAGGACCTACAATAATACACCTCATTGTATGTGGAAACAATATTCCATGTTTTTTGAATTTCTCATCCCCCTCGAATATATTATTTTCAATATTCAGAGTCGTTTTTTGTGGAACAACTTTCATTTCATGAATAAAAAATAGTTTATCTCCGATATTTAATGATCAGTTGCTTTCTGTATTTCACTGAATAAACACACACACACACACACACACACACACACACAAATGCCACGCTACTATTCCTGTGATGTGCTTTTGAATACTGCCATAAATAAACAACCTTTCGAGTTACATATACCTGGTGGATATAGATTCTGTGGTCCTGGAACAAAATTAAAAAAAAGACTCGCTCGAGGAGATAAAGGTATAAATGAATTAGATGAAGCTTGCAAGGAACATGACAGCATATTCCAAAGAAAAAGATTTGAAACATCGTCATAAAGCAGATAGAATTCTAAAGAATAATTCATATGGACAGAGACTAGCAGCTTTAGGCGTTGCTGGTGCTATGAAAGCTAAAGTGAAATTGGGAATGGGAATAGGAAATAAAAAACAAAATCAAAAACGAAAACAACAAGCTGTCAACAAATGTCTGGTAGTTTTAAGAAGAACGAAGGTTATTTTAGAAAAATCTCTAGGAAATATTGAAAGCAGTATGCGAATGCTGAAGGAAGGAATTTCAACAAATAGAATTGTTAAACAAACTAAACGGATAGCACAACATAAAAAGATGAATAAAAAGAAGAAATCACAGAATGATGGTGATGACGATAATGAAGGAAAGAAGGACTTGATGGATATCGATATTGCTGACGATTATCCCATGAATAAAAGATGTGCAAACAAGAGGAAATTGGATAACGATGATATCTCAGACACTATTCCTGATAAGAAGCCTAAAAATGTGGTCGGTGATATGATCAACCGTAGACAAGGGGTAACCGCGAAAAGGAGATTGAGAACATTAGATGATAAGGGGGACACTCATTCAAGTGATATGAGTGAACCATTAGATATTACAACAACAAATTCTAGAAAGAGAAGGTTGGATACAGAGATAGAAGAGGACGATCTCGGAAATAAGAAACTCAAATTCACCTAATTTTCATAAGGATTAAAAAAAAAGTCAGTATACGAGAGAGTTCAATACAGTTCAGATGGCTCGCAAGAGATCCAAAGGGAATACTTAACGTAGAAATAATAAAAAGAGGAATATCAAGAAGAAACTAATAAAAAAGGGGGTATGCTTCGCCAAAGCAATCGGACAAATTAAAAAGCATATCATCTCCCAAAAACCTAAGACTGTAGGTGATGCTGTAGCGTTTAAATTTGCTGAACATAGATTTTTGATTTAGTTTTCATGGTACCCTAAGTAAACATTCAAATGATATCATCAAGAAGGCATACTTACAGAGAGCACTAAGTTAGGAGATCAATGAACATTTCTCTCGAGAAGAAACATTTATTGATAGGTAAAACACTCATACACAGTTTCCTAATATCATTTCACCAGATATCACGATTCTTCAGACGTTCAGTACACCTGTAGGAAATGATGAGAAGCCTCAGGCTGTGCTGATCCAAGTAAACAGGTTCTGAAAATGAAGAATGTATTTTCATTTGAAGGCTTTTGTTTGTTTTTGTCTGATGCACTTGTTGGGGAAAACTGTTGACTTACCTGTAGTGTTCCCAAGCGGTGGTGATGTGAACAATTGATTGATTATTCTTAGGATTATTTGGGTTTTGGTATAATCTTTTGAATAATTTGGTTTTTCTTTCATTTATTTTATTGGCTGAAAAGATAGGTTATGTATTCCTTCCGCACGTCAGTGTCAACACTGTCACTTAACAATGTCAACGCTGTCACTTGCCTTGGATGGAGATCATCTTAGCACAGTCTTCAGAAGCAGCGTCGAATCAACGAAGAAGAAGTCGACCATTCTTCTTTTATTTTCTTCTGATTTTCTTAAAGTTTTGAGAGATATGAAATAGTTCAATGGGTATAAAATTGACGTTAGGGAAATTTCAATTTGGAAGATTGGCATCGTGAAAAGGTGAAGGGGAGATAGCGGAAATTGCTGACGAAGTTTGGCTTTTTCCAAGGTGGCTTCTGAAGTGCACACATGTAAAAATTTGAGGTAACTTTTTATCAACGGTAGTTGACCCTATGTGGGATTTGTGAGGTTTTTCACTCAAATTTAGTGGTGTTTCCTTCGTTTGACCTGTTGGCCGATTTGTGACACCACCTTGGAACTGCCACCAGCGATGGGGCGCCGACAGCATGGTACCCGGTTTGACTCTCCTAGCCCTTTCGAAGACGTTGATTGAGGTTCAGTGGGGCTGATTGTATAGTGCGGAATGGGAAGTTATGGCCTGTTTTTTTCCAATAGGGTTTTAGGATAGCCTGAATGTTTCTGTGAGATGGGG